TAAGTCTTAACGCCTCACCTTTTACTCACATCCTACACATAAAGCAGTCACCATTTATTTGGGGAAACTAACAGTTAAACACAAAATTGAAATTTAATGCATTTGTGCTATGACATACTAGGTCACATAGGAAGGGCTACTAAATTCAATTGGGATACTCTTCAAAGGACATGATACCTTAAAGAATGGGCACTTATTTTTCATGGTAGAGAAGCAGTATATACCAACATACGTGGGAATGGGAAAACAAAGTTCATTAGAGGAAGTGTAAGTACTACTTTTTAGGTGGACCATGGGATTTGAGTGGAAAGAGGCAAGGTAGTTCAGCTGCCTGCAGGGAATTCAAACAATAAAGTTTCATTTTATCCTGAGATAGATGAGAAGCTTCCTAATGATTTTGATTTTAAGTAATAAAGCACTGTGATCACCCTAACAGAGTTGTAGACATTGAAGTGGACATGTAAGTCCACATTGGAACATTAGAGTATATGACTTCACTAGTAATCATAAAAAGGCAAATTAAAACAATGTGAATGACTTTTTATTAATCAGGCAGAGAAAGGTAACTGTAGAGGAAAGTTTGCAAAAATTCAATACTTAAGCATTTACCTTGTAAATAAAATACACCACGTTTCTATGCTGATTTCTACATCATTATGTGACACTGTGTACTCTTAGGATAATGCTGTCAAGTTCCATAATCATCTTCTAAAGTTCAGGCTCACTATAAGTTGACACAAATTGGGACTAGCATTTCTACTGTTGTCGGTGGATTATATTATCCCAAGACTATGCTTTCATTTGCAGTAGGGAAACAGCCTGGTCATTCTTGTCCAGATATACATTGACAGAGGATGCTTGTGAAATAGTGAAGGCTATGAAATTCCTAAGCTAGGCTGAGGCAAATAGGGCAGTGCTTAGTATTTATTTAAAGCAAAAGATGAAGATTTCTTATTAACTTTAAAAAAATTCACTGTTTCAAGCTTAGTTTTTTTATCTATAAACTGACAATTATAAACAGTATATGTACATATCATGTAATTTTTGTGATGATAATGAGGTACATATGTAGAATTGTCAATGCACTAACAACATTCAGTAAATATTGTCTATGAATATTATGTGATTATTAGAAAGCTGTTAACTGAAGAGAAAAAAGTAAGATTGATAAAAGACAGAAGTACAGCATCAGAATCCAAAAGTTATCCAATCAAGAATTTAATTTAGTAGGTCTAGGCAGAGGTTTAAGTGGAAAATTAACTGAGACTGGCACTGAAGTACACACGCACACTCACACACACACACACACTCACACACACACTCACACACACACACTCACACACGCACACACACAGGGCAAAAGAAAAAGAAAAAACAATGACTAGGGTTAATTCAGAAGCAAAGTCTATAATGAATAAACAATCTTTTTTATTTTGGGCCAGGCATACTCTGCTGGACTGGAGGTGCGTCCATGAATCCATGAGTGGATCAAGACAAGGTAGCTAGTCAAGTCCATATTAGAATGCTAAAAGTGACATCAGGTTTTGCAGAATATTGAAGAATCACACATAGAAAGAGAATGGAAGTGACTACTGTGCACTTGGGAGAGAACAATCTAGTCCTGAATCATTTTCTTTAATAAGGGATTAACCAAGAAAATATTCTTATCTGTCTCAATCATCTCTGTGTACTTGTTCTGAGGAAACAGCCAGACATCAATACTTTCTGAACCTCCTTATTTTTGTTGATTGTGTGTATCTGTGCCCCTATCACAGTGCTCACCAAGAAAAATTTTGGGAAATAAATAGTTACTGCAAATGTGCTTTGTTTGAATAATTTATTGGAGAACCAATTTTGCTTACAAAACACTTACCTCCAAAAATGTTCCCCAGTGTCTAGAACTTTCAGGCTAAAATGATAGATAATAAATATCTTTAAAAAAAGATAAACTTCAATAAGAAATATAATCTCCAGCATTTTCCCCAAAGTTCCTGGGTTAATATAATTTATTGAGCATCTTATTATCATTCTTCTTCATTCTCTCATAATATTGCTTAGGAGTAATTCTCAATGTGAAAGGTCGACCTCTCTGATTCATATCAGAATCATTTGGTGGGCCTTTAAAAATGACATAGCCTTTCCAAAACTCACCTTGTCTACCCGCTTCCAAAATTTGTATACCTCTCTACCATTTAGAGACTGTTTTTTTGAGCCACTGTTAACTAATGTTAGTGCATCTAATTGATTTGGTTTGCTAAAATGAAAAACAATAGCTGAGGTACCTGGAGCAGTGTGGTGTTCAGCAAAAGCTATAATGTCTGGCCCAACTCAGACCTGGAGCCAGTACTTGTATACTGTTTTCTAGTTTCCCAGAGTTTCAATTTTTCCTTCAGCATAAAGAGAAAAATAATGTTTCTTTACTGCATAAGAGTCACTCAGCACAGTCAATAAATTGTAGATATTATTATTGGTGGAAGATTTGGGAAGTTCTTCGAAGGGACCAGAATCTGCCTTTTTAGTGTTGAAGAAAGAACATAGGATTTAGATGTCCCATCTCTTCCTTCTTTTAGCCACTCAGTATTGACTAATACATCTGAGTTTTAAAACTTTTGTCTATTATAAAAGAGGATAGGCCTATCTTTCCTGCATACTCCACAGAGATATACTGGGCATCCAATGAGATAAGATAAAACAACACAAAATATACTATTGTAATAAATTGTTTACTAATATATTACTATGCAAGTTTTAACTGTAAGTCAGTTTGCCTTATAATGATGGATTTTCTCCTTATAGTAATCCTTTGAAAATATTTATTTTTCAAGAAAATAATTTTTTCTGCAGGTAACTTCAGAAATGCACTTAAAAATATTGGAGCAGGGGAAGCTAAAGAGATAGTCTCTAAAACAGTGGATAATGAGAGTTACTCAGGCATATCCCCATCAGCTCATTACTTTTGCTCATATGGTGGAACAGAGATTTCATATAATTATCCATGTAGGAAATATTCATATTTCATTATAAACTAACAAACTGTCATGGTGAATGCAGAGCCCATCATACCCAATGGCAGCTACTCTGTGACATGCTGATGAAATATGTGACTTACAAGCAATGATAGAGCCCTGCTCATACCCCAGCCCCACTCCCATCATTTAATTATTTCCAGACATTTAATCACTTTTTTCTAAAGTGACTGAAATTGCACGGCTTAAATACGACTTCATCAAAAATTACCTATTTTCATTAAAATGCTTCCATTGCATTTGTTTTCTCCAGTTCAAAATGAGTGTTCTATTTAACGTCTCAATGAATTGCCTTAGAAAAAAACTTTTTTTAGACTTGTCAAAAATTGTTTTATAAATCAAATGAAATCAAAATTTACTAATTATTTTCTATAAATAGTCAAATGTGGAATTGCTTGACCATCTCCAGATTTACTCTAAAATTATTTTAAAAATATATATTCAAGAAAGGATTACTATAATTATTAGGGCATCTTATATAGAAAGGAAATGTTGCTTAAGTAAGCTTAGAAAATAATTTTACCTGAAAACTTAGTGAATATTGTAGCTATTTGACTGCCAATATTCCATTCACTAGGGGCAAATATATTTAGATTTGGTGAGGTCATTGTTAACATGGCGGGGACTGAGGGTCTTTTATTCAGTTTACAACTGCTAGCTAAGTCAGTGTCTGTAATACTCAAAGCATATGGCTGCACTCCTTGTGCTAGTTGCCCTTGGTATTTACTATTTATTATGAATTGTTATCTGTCCATAGAATCCTTGAGCTAGCCAGGGTCCACTGCTTTCTGTATGCATCTTGGCCCACTGTCAGAATAAATGGTTTTACAAATTGTTTTATTTAAGGGGGTCTTCCAATGTTAGATTCTATTTGTTAAACATTTATTTCCATTCACTTAAGTATATCAAATCATACCCATATATGTTACATTTTTTAAATTTTTGCCACTGATTTAGTTAATCTAATAATAATTATCTAACATTACATCCTACTATTTTCTTATGTTTAATAAAGATCAGTAACCAATCCTTTTAATTGTATAATACAAACATTAATAAAATATGATTACTGAGTCCAAATCACTAAACATTCTACATCCAGAAACTACATTCATTCAATCACATGTCACTCTTTTTTCCTTCTTCATTGTACATTTTTTCTTTGTCTACCTATTTTTATGTTAGCAGCATTTGTAAGAATAAGTATTTTTCTATATATCATAAAATAAATGGATACACCTTGAAATTACCATGCATACAGTTTCCCCAGGCAAGCACAAATACATTTTTATATTCCTATGTGAGAGAGATGGAGAAAGAGAGAGACAGAGAGACTAGGCAAAGAGAGAGAAAGAGAGAATGCATGTATATGTGAGTGAGGGAGTGAATGTGTGTAACAATGTGATTTCAGTTTATGGTAATATGCAGAAAGAAAACAACAGCTACTAGTTTGTGAATTTCTGGCATGAGAAATCAAAGTAAATCGCAAATCATAACTCACTCTTTTGAAGAAGAGTGTATAAAAACCTATTTGTTGTTGAAAAAAAGTCAGCAAACACAAGTTGTAGTTACCACTTTGCATAAACCTAATAGTTTTCAAGGCATTTTAACAAATACTACAGTTGATGAGATTATAATTATCAATTGTTTTTTGCTTTAAAAAAAATCCCATCTTCACTATCACATTGTGAACTATCATTCAGTGAAAAATCACAATTCTCATCTAGGCGATACTTTAATGAACATTAAAGAAAGAATTAAAATTAACTGCAATTTATTACTTGCATAAACAGTGATACTATATGTATATTTATATGTGTGAGTATATGCAAAACATGTAGTGAACATGTTTATTTAAGTGCATTCATATTTCAATATATAGCTCTCCCAAAAGTTAGGAAATCTAAGAATCCCGTACTGGTCTGTAAATGAAATCCTGAAGGGGGGGCATATAATATGAATTGAAATACTCACTGTGGAAGGATTGAAGGATATTGATTGTCCATTCATCTGTTAATCTTCCTGTTCTTGTTATCTGGATACATTTGAGCTGATTTGAAGATTCTCTTGATTGAATCCAACAAATCATATCTTCATTGTAAATAAAATCCAGAGTATGAATTTCATTTCCATTGATTGAGCTCAGAGTTGCCATTTTACTTCCATTAAGATAGTAAACCTCGATTGTTTCAGAATTTGCAATTAATAGCATAGGTGGCCTATCTGTAGGTTCTGGAAAAAAAGAGAAAGAGGAAAGGGAGTTAAGTAAAACAGAGTCACATGTTTTTTGTTTTTACAATTGTACATTACTTAAAAATTTATTCTGCTTTTTGGTGCATCTTTAAAACTAAAAAAAATGCTTTCAAAAAGTGTTTATTAATAACCATTATATATGCACTAACTATATATTTCAGCTCACTTTTCTAAGGAAGAAAGTCCACTGAGCATTTGTACTCTTTATTTCCTTAGGCATAATGTGTTGTCTAAATATGAGGACAATGCTATTTATGTTCATCATTGGTAAATAAAGGCAGTGCTGTGAGTTGTTTTTCTAGCAATGATGATGGATCTGGACTGACGTCTTCATACAGTTTTACAGGTTTCCCATGTGCGCAAGGGCATGCTTTTTTGAGGTGGATATATTAGGTCAGAAGTAGATTCTCTGGAGCAGAATATGCAAAGCTCATAGGCTCATTCATACAAAGAGCACCAGTGACCTCAGACTTACAGGCTCCTTGACTGGCCCCAGGAGCCAAATAATCACATATTCTTCTAGTGACTAGATTATGATTACTGAGCTACTTACTTCCTCATTCCTTCCCTATAGTCAGGAAAATAAGATTCTAGAATAAATAAATAAATAAATACTTGTCCAATACTACTTTTTGAACAATGCAGTTTTGCTTGTGTTAGGATTGGTGAGTTTTTGATGAATATATACCAATTGACCAGTATTTCAATATCTTTTAATATTTGAAGATAATAGTAAAATCTCGTATAAAATGATGTTGAAAGAATTTAGCTATACAGTCACATTCAGAGTAGTTTTTTTGATAATTAGGGAATAGAAAAAAAATTAAAATCTTCAACTCTTTTTTTTTCCGGCCCTACATACAATGCATCATTAAATCTCTTTGGCTCTGGTGTCAAAGATACCAGGAATCCCAACACTTCCGGTGACTACTATAATCTTCCTGATCCAAGTGGACATCATCTCTCAACTAGATCATTCCAATAGACTTCAAACTGGGTTTTCTGCTTCCATCTATGCTCTCTTCCTTTTTAGTATATCTCAACACAATAGCCAATTAGACAATTATGCCTTTAGAATGGTAAGGCACATCAGATCAGTCTTCTGCCCAGTTCCTAAAAGGGCTCTCATACCAGTCAAAGTAAAAGTCAAAGCTTCTATAATGGCCTATAGGGTTTTACCTGACTTGTATTTTCATTACCTCTTTGACTCCATTTCCTTCATCTCCTTATTACTCTCACCCTTGTGCATCTTACTGTAAACACACTGCCTTTCTTACTGTTCCTTGAACAGGTCAGGTAAGCTGCCCAATCAGAGGCTCTCTTACTTCTTGAAATTATCATGACCCATATATAAGAATGGCCAACTTGCTCACATCTTTTTGGGTATTATTTGAATGTTATCTTTCTGGTGAGGACATACCTTATTTATTTATCTTGTAAAAACTGCAAGCCCCTATATTCTCTTTTCTCCTTCCCTGCTTTATTTTTCACTTGTGACTACCAAAAATTATATACATCTTATTTATTTTTTTCTGGTTCATTATTTTTCCATAATACTTTTGCTGATGCATCTCTAGCATTTAGAAAAAAGCTTGGAATCCAATGTCCATTCAGCACAAATTTTCTGAATAAGTAAAAATCAAACATACAACTCTTGCATAGTAGAATTCTCTAGAAACATTCTTGTGAAATGTTACAAAATAATTTGGTTTTCTTACCTATGAATGGAACCCAGAAAAGACTGGCTACTTAGAAAATTTTATAAACATCATTTGATTATTCAAGAAACCAATACTGAGAACTGTACAAGTAGGAGAAAATCAAATACATATACTATGACTAATATAATTAAATAAATCTAATGTTTTGGATGTATTATTTAATCATCTTTATCTTTTCTGGTGGGAAAAGAGAGATCAGTCTACCATTTCTCTCAGATAGAAGACCTCTCTAGTGAAGATGATTTTGTATCTACCCTCATAGGTTTAACATGTCAACTCTAAAATGCATCCCAAGACCTTCCACGAGTATTTAAATTTCTTCCCCCTAGGAAGTTCTCTCAATTGAGTCACAGACTTTTTCTATGCCTTCTGAAAGACAACAAAAGTTTTTGACTTGATAAAAACACAAAACAAACAAAAATAACAACAAAAGCCTCAATAAAATCACAAAACTTGTTAGTCCAACAGTGCTTCCCAGTGGAGAAAACATACTTGTCCTGGACTTCCTAGTATAAACCAACAGAAAGGAATTCTCAAAAATGCTAAGATCATTTCCACACTAAAGAGTTCTCTCAGAAATAGGAGTAAAATCATGAGTTATCACTGCTTAACATATCCTTGTCAAGTGACCACCTCTGAGCTTGGTTAGCCAGTGGCTTTTCTCCTAATTTCCTTTTTGCTGTTGTTGTTTAATTAAATTTTACTGGGATGACAACTGTTAGTAAAATAACATAGATTTCAGGTGTACAATTCTGTAATACATCATCTGTATATCACATTGTGTGTTGACCACCCAGAGTCAGTTCTCCTTCCATCACCATATATTTGATCCCTTCTACCCTCATCTAATTTCTTAAAGCCATCTTGAACCATGTAATACTTGCCCTTGGCCATTCCCAAATTTGGAATTCCATACTTGGTCTTTTTTACCACTCCTAGCTATGTTGATTTCTATTTGGCCTTGACACTCTTGAAGCCTGCTGGATCATAGATTTATCAGATTATGAAGGGGTCTTAGATGACTGTGTTATCAGATTAACAAAGATAAACTGACATTAATGTTAATGCTTACTGTCTTCATTTGACAACTGAAATGACTTTTAGTGAAATTCCCTCGCATTAGAAAATGAACCATTATTGAAGCTTCTTTGTTGCCTAGCTTTATGAGAAATCCAGATGTAGACAATTTATTAATTGACTCCTACTCACTAAATTTAAGTATCTTATAAACATTCTTTGGAGAGAAGTTGGCATATGAGGGAGCCCTGAGCTTCCCCTGAGAAACTGAGATAAAAATGAATTCATAATCAACACAGGCAACACTTACTTGACTCAATTGACCAATCTATTTGATTTTTATAGCTGGTTTTTCATTGAATCAGTTGATTGTTTTATTGGAAAACATATCAACCAATGATTTTAAAGCTTCAAGGCAAACAGAAAACCAATAAAAAGAAAATCAGATGCTTCATAATCTAACACAGTTTGATTTAATAATGGTGACTTTATAATTCAAATGACATACTGGAGGAAGGATATTTATAATATTGGTTGTGAGGTACTATAGTGAAGTAATATTCAATGGTCTCTACTAATTATTAACTGTGGTTTTCCTCTTTAGACAAATAAACTTAAGGCCTAGCATGGGAGTCAGGGAGGAGGAGGAGAAGCCATTGAAACACAAGATCCCCAAAAATCATCAGTGGTGAAGGATGTACATCTTTTTTTTTTCTTCTTTTTATACTTCATGATGAAAGCTGGCATAGGCCTGCTGAAGGTAATCTGTCTCTACCCGCATGGCTTCTCACTCCGGTGTGCATCATTACCTCAAGTTTCCACGTGCCAGTTGAAGAGCACCATTAGCTTGGGTAATGAGGATAAAAGACTGACCAGAATAAATGTGATGTTCTTATCAGATGCCATCCTTAGAGTTAGTGGACAGTTTTCCCAAAGGAACAGTTGAAAGGCACATTAGATTTATTCAGCCAAAGGAATACCTACATCAACAATTAGTGAGAATAAATATTAACTTTCCACATAGACGAGACTGAAACACAAGAAAGCACTCAGTCAATATTCTAACTTAGAGAACCATGATTTTGGTTGAGTAAACCTCTCCAACAGGCTGTCAATTGATCCATGCCAGAGAAGGAAAACTGTCCTCACCCTCTTCATTACTCACCATATGTCAACAGAATAAAAAAATAGTAATTTCTCTTCTAGCTATGAAGATGTGTATATGTGCTCAGTGTGATCAGAAAGGGATTTATTCCTATCATATATATAACACTAATAAGTGCTATAATTTTTAAAGACTGATTAAAAATTGTAAATTAAAAAGAGAAACTTGGAAACAGAAAATCTCATTTGACTAGATTCATAAAAATACCTATTTAAATTGCAAACCACTATAACCATTTTTTTGCCAACATATCCTTATTTTCTCATAATAAAAAATATACTAAAAGTGTATTTGTATACTATAACAATATGATTTAGACACACAATCAATGCTAAATAAATGTTTTCAGGGTTAATAAAAATTACTTTTAAGGTTTCAATTAAACTTCCTATTTTTGCATTAAATTCTAAAAATATTATTTTGGCTAGTTTCCTTTTAAGTGATTGGGATTATGGATTCAGTAACTTACAAATAAATATAAACCTAATAAATATTTATGCATATCAATAATGTATATATGTGCACATATACATGTATAAATGTATATCATCTACTTATACTGTGTTCTGATTTCTCATTATTTATCCTGCAACTGTGAACAATTATCTACATGAATGAAGTTTATTAGGTGCACCTTGATATTTATTGGTTCAAAGATGAACAACAACAACAAAGAGAATCCCAGGTACAACTGAATAGAAGGTTAAATAATACTTGTATGTAAAATATATAAAATAAAGAGTCAGAGTAAGAATAAAAGTATGAAAATAGAGAAATGTGTAATCAATACAGCCCAAATAAAATTTTAACCAATATGAACTTAAAATAATTGAAAGAGGGATTTTAAAGGTTTTACTCTTAATTTATCATACACAAATTATATGAAATCTTTGAAAATAAGGAAAATGTGATGAAGTTAGAAATGAGAAGAATGTTAGCAACTTGTAATAAAAAATCAAGCAAAACCTTATAGGATGTAAACTACTACTATAAGAAACAAAATGAAGAACAGACTGTATACAGAATACATTTCAAAAATTCTGAAATTATGCAAAGCATAGAAAGAATTTAAGATG